CTTTGAGCAACCTGGTGTAGTGGAAGGTGTCCCTGCCCATGGCAGGGGGGTTGGAACTAGATGACCTTGAAGGTCCCTTCCAAACTGAACTGTTCTGTGACTCTGTGATTCTACGATGTGCTGCCTCAGGTAGATGCTGCCCTGGGGCCAATACGCTGTTCCAAGCTGGAGCAGGGAAGGTTTCCACAGAGCCTTGCTGCGGCTTTAGCCTCAGCACACCAAGTGACACTCACAGGTCCCTGGCCAGTGATGATCGAGGCTGTACTTGCCCAGCTGCTAAAAGGAGGAGAGCAGCCCTTACAGCTGCTCATCCCTGGACCATATTGCTCCCTCTCGTTTCAGCACAAGCATTTAAGCATCTATATAACAAACTGGGACTATATTCGACCCAGTTCAAGTCTAGTTTGAATCCGAATCAGCTTCTCAGTTTGGTTCCCCGAGTGCAAAGATATTTGTGCTGCAGTCAGGAGTGGGGTGGCGCGGAGATGGGGGCAGAGCTCTCTCCATCCACAATGCTGCCCTCCAGCATCCCTGACACCGTGGTGATGCTCGTGGGGAGCGGGTTGGGCTGAGGTGGGGTCTGCTGCCCCAGTGAAGGCAGCGGCGGGGAGAAGGGTTGGTGCCAGGATCCCTGCCATGCTGGCTGCCACCCACGGGCAAAGGGCTTTCAAACAGAGCAGAGGTTCAGCTTTCTGGGGTAGACAAGGCTACAGATGTGCAACCAGCTGGCTGTCCACAGAGGAAGTGCTCCACCATCCTCCGGTCACCTAAAGCTAAACACCCAAGTCCTGTGGATCTTTGCAGCCGAAAGAAGGGGGATGCCAGGGGTGAGATACTGGAGCGCTGCTCTGGGAGCAGGTCCTGCTCATCTCGGGAGTGAGCTCGGTCAAACACCTTAGATCCTCCTAGTGCCACAGTTAACTCGGGTACAAGGACGATCTACTGCCCAGAGACACTGCGCAAAAATCAGATTTTTACTTTTTTTTTTAATCTAAAAGGGAAGGTCATTTCCCTTTCCAACAAACTATCGGTGGAAAGGTGTGAAAGCTCTCCCTGTCCTAGTGCCAAATCCGTGAAGTTGGGGGAGTTGACGATGGCTGGGTGGGCAGGGGGAGTTACTGCCTGTCCTGGGCTGGCCCTGGCCCCCCTCCCATGCCTCTGCTCTGCCCAGGGAAGGCTGCCTGGTCCACCTGGCCAATGCCCCGGAGCGGTGGTGCCCGCAGAACACTGCGCTATCATCGCCAGGCCCAGCACATCCGTTCTCGGTTGCTTCTGTAGCCTAAAGTGGTGCCAGAACAGAGGAACTGAGCAACATCACTCCCATCTCACAGAGCTCCTTGTTTGCTCTGTGTTTCCTTGTCCCTCCAGGAGGACTTGGAGCAGGAGAGGAGCCATCTGCTGACTCGGGCGGTTGTGGCAGAGGAGCAGGTGTCGGAGCTGCAGGAATACATAGATAAGCACCTTGCAAGGTGAGATGGTAGCATCCCCCCTTGACGCGTTCTCCGCTTTGTGCTCCCAGTTTATCTCCCAGGCTAATTGCTGGTGACACCACCATGCCCACCACACTGCTGGTGCTCGACCTCACCACTGCCTTCCCACAGCGCTGCC